GAGAATATATATATTAATATATAATATTTCTCATACATTTATAAATTGATAGCAGAAACTAATCTTAACCAAATACAAGATCCTAGCTAATGTTATATCCAGAATCCCGAAACGATGAATTGTAGATAAATTGTTAATCCATGATCCTCTTGAGATATTTTGGATCCGAAAATTCTCGAAGGAAAATATCAGATTTCTTAATATTACGAATTCGATTGTATTGTTGTGGAGGCCAGGCCTAGCCGTAACTTTTTGTGGAGCTAACTAGTACAACGAATCTGAAAGAAACATATGGAAATTGAGGGATCCGAACGAAATAGATATTCATCAGGACCTTTGCTGAGCGAGTTGTGCCAACCAGCGCCGGGAAAAGTCTTTACTCCACTCGGCAGCGGCCTGCACGGAAAGGTATGCGCCGAACACGCTCCCAATGTGTGGCTGGGACAGCGCTCTGAAGCCCAGCTGCACGCCACAGCCACAAACGCACGTACACCGTAGCATCCTCATCTTTCAGCGTCGGGACTCAGCGCATGCACCAGGTCTGGTCTGCTGCTCTCCAACTGCCTACTGATGGCAGCTCTCATCACATCACTGCCCAAGCGCTCCTGGCTGAATCCTGGCCTTTGCGTTGTGGGGGCCGCAACATGCAGGCGGCCCACCAGCTTCTGGCTTCGTGTTCACGGGCTCTGGGTGGTGGCGGGAAAGCAGGTCGGCGGATATCAGAGGCCTACATCTAAGGCTTCCTAGCAGTCCAAACCTGGTGGCTTCTGGCTGCCGGCGAGATTCGCATAACGCAGCCGCAGGCAAGGCCAGCATGACTGTAGACGGAGCCCGAGGTTCCCCCATCGGAGCCACACAAGGACTGCCAGAGAAAGGAGTAGCAGAAGCCAGCTGACGTTCAGCCAATGACATGTGGAGCCATTGTGAAGCTCCAAGCAGTCGTCCGACACTGCGCCTGTGAAGGTGCACTGCAAGCAAAGGACGGATGTCATCATAAGCCAGAAGCCCTCACCATCGTAGATGGTAAGGTCATGTGTGGCAGCAACATTGATTCCCAGCCACCACCCCTCCAGTAGCCTGGCAGACTGCTCTGGATAAAGCTGCCTGAAGGTCTCTTGCAAGTACCTCGGTAGCCCAGTAACCATATTATAACAAGGGCACCCTCTTTTGGTTTGGCTGCTTCATAAACGAACCTTGTGCCCCCACAAAAAGGGTAAAGGGTACCACTGTGGGCTACCAAGATACGAGGTTGGCCTGCCCTTGATCCACTTCGTGCGGTGACCGAAACTAACAAAGTGCACCAGCGGAGGGGAAGTCTGTGTTACTTGAACGTGGATCCGCCGGTCCAGCAGTGAAATTCCACCCCCACCAACGGTGTAAAGCGTGCAGCTCAAGTTGCACCCTGTGTCCAAGAGAATTTCATCCGGGTGGTCCCTCCGGTACATGTGAAACCACCACCTAGGTTGCCCAGTAACCTGGCATTTAAAGGGTGCCCTTTTGTGCTTAACGGGGTTTACAAGAGAGCCTAAACCCTAAACCCTAACCCTAAACCCTAAACCCTAAACCCTAAACCCTAAACCCCAAACCCTAAACCCTAAACCCTAAACCCTAAACCCCCAGAAAAGGGAACTGGGCATCCGAGCCACTGGTCGTTCACCTCCAGGGGCACCAGCTCACGCAGCATGTTCCTAGGATGGCCCCCTTCAGACCCTCTGAACAAGATTGAATTAGGGTTTAGGGTTTAGGGTTTAGAGTTTAGGGTTTCTTCTTCAACCCCTAGGGTTTACAAGGTCTATGGGGCTTGTGAGCTTTTATCGGATTTATAGGGTTTATAAGGTGTCATGAAATATATGATCCTCTTCAGCCGCAAAAAGGGGAACACAAAATATTCCCGAGGGCCTGCCTGGGTTCTTGTACGCGTGCGCGCGGCCGACGATCAGCCCCGCATTCAAGAAACGCCACCGCCACTTGGCAGGCGGATGCTTCTCGCAGATGCCGTCGGTGGGCGGGAAGCACGCAGGCTCGGCGTTGAAAACCAAGCTCTTGCCAGACTCCCTTTCAAGATCCTCAAAGACTCGGAGAATTTCAGCCTTGCCACCCATGACCAGCACATCATAGGCGTCAGCAGCGATCACCACATCCTCGTCGGCCTGAAGCGCTCGCATGTTGAAGCAATGTTCAGTCTGCTACAGACATAAGGGATGTACAGCCATACTCATATTCCCAAGTACTCCGAACCCAAAGACCCTAAACCCCAAACCCGTAACCCTGAACTACAAACCCCAAACCCGAAACCCTGAACCACAAATCCTGCCCCAAACCTTAAACCCCAAACCCCTAAACCCTAAACCCCTGCCTTAGTGGCCACGTAGGACCGGAGTGCGTTGATTTTAGCACCCAGCTGCGCCCAGCCGGCATTGGAGCCAAGACCCAGCACCTGTGATGAGGGTAAGGGTTTAGGGTTGAGGGTTTAGGGTCTAGGGCTAGAAGCATAATTCCAGGGTTTAGGGTTTAGGGTTCAGGGGCCTCAAGATTTTAGGCCTGAAGGAAGAAGCAGGCTGCTTCTGCCCAAACTCAAGCACCCACTACCTCATTCTTCCCTGTGGGCCCAATGCCTAGCAACTAAGGGTTTAGGGTTTAGGGTTTAGGGTTTAGGGTTTAGGGTTTCGGGTTTAGGGCTTAGGGCTAGAAGCATAACTCCTTCCTTGCAAAGGGGATCTCTGGGATCTCTGAGTCCTGCCTCAGGGTAGATCTGGTTGGCCTCCGCGGACACCTGCAAATAGGCCAGCCGCCGGTCGGCCTGCAAGGATTAGGGTGATCCGGGTTCAGAGCCCTAAACCCTAAACCTAAACCCTAAACCCTAAACCCTAAACCCTAAACCCTAAACCCTAAACCCTAAACCCGAGTAAACCAAAAACCAGGGTTTCGGGCTTCAGGTACCCGGAAGGGGTCGGGTTTAGGGTTTCGGCAACTCAGGTTCTTAGCCGATCCCAAGAGTCCTAACCCCAAGAATACACCTTAACCATCATCAGGGGCCCCTATCCAAAACCCTAAACCCTAAACCCTAAACCCTGAACCCTAAACCCTAAAAGCTCTCCGGGCTCCACTCTCACACCATGGGCCTTGCTCAGGAAGGTAAACAGATGCAGCGAAGCGCCTTGCCAGGCCACCGGGCATTTCTGGGTATTTGAGTTTTGTTTAGGGTTTAGGTTTTAGGGTTTAGGTTTAGGGTTTTAGGGTTTTAGGGTTTTAGGGTTTTAGGGTTTAGGGTTTAGGGTTTAGGGTTTAGGGTTTAGGGTTTAGGGTTCAGCAGCTCCGGATCGAGCAGATTTACGGCTCGGATATAACACCCACCCACCCAGAGAATCCCATAACATTAAGAAACCATAAAGTATCTTCATGCAAAAGTTGGGGTGGGGGGTGGGAGGGGGGGGGGGGGGGGGGGTGGGGGGGGGGGGGGGGGTGGTGGGGGGGGGGTGGGGGGGGGGGGGGGGGTGGTTTTTGTGCCTTTGCCCACCAATTTTTGTGCCTTGCCCACCAATTTTTGTGCCTTGCCCACCAATTTGTGTGCCTTTGCCCACGAATTTTTGTGCCTTGCCCACGAATTTTGGTGCCTTGCCCACGAATTTTTGTGCCTTGCCACCAATTTGTGTGACCGAAAATTCGAGGGCAAGGCACAAAATTTCGTGGGCAAAGGCACAAAGATTCGTGGGCAAGGCACAAAATTCGTGGGCAAGGCACAAAAATTCGTGGACAAGGCACATTTTGGGGTTTTAAGCCTTGCCCCAAGGCCAAAAAACCCGAAACGTGCCTTGCCCACGAATTTTTGTGCCTTATCCACGAATTTTTGTGCCTTGCCCACGAATCTTTGTGCCTTTGCCCACGAAACCCATTAGGGTTTATATATATATATATATATGAGCCCGCCGCCTTTAGGGTCTATTTAGCTTTGGGTTTTTCTTATTGCTTTAAAAGAGCGAATATAAATATCGTAATACAAAAACACATATTTACACCTACATATGGCACACAAATCTCATGCCCAGCGATTCTAGGCCTAGCCGCACGCCATTACGAACTGCGAATTTCTGATTATTCTTATTTCATTTGCTTCTCTTTGCTATCTGTGTATGCGTGTTCTTTTTTCAGCCTGCGCGAAAAAGTCGCTGTTTGGCTGCGGCTTCAGAAAGACTCTGGCATTCGTACGTGCTGTGAAATTACCCTGCACGTTTAAGTTAAGCACATCTGTAAGCCCCCTACGTCCCATCTGCAGCCTGCCCCCTTCCCCCCCTACTCCAACCCCCTACCCCATCACCCTCAACACGACCCCTTCCCACAATTTACTCCACCCACACCACTCGCACCTAACCCCTCCTACCCCTCCTCTCACACCCCTTCACTCCAAACTACCAACCTGAAGTTATCATAACTATAATAACTTCAACTTCCCCATCATAAGTTATCATAATTATGATAACTTTAACTTCCCGATCAAAATTATCATAACTATGAAAAACTTTAAGTTCTTAATCTCAGGGTATGATGATTATGATAAGCAACTTTTCATAATTATCATAAGTTATCATAATTATGATAAGTTATCATAAGTCATCATAATTACGATAAGGTATCATAATTATGATAAATTGTGATAGTTATCACAAGTTATCCTCCTCGCCCTTTCCAGTTAAAAGTGCTTACGGCTTAAAGACCTTAGTACATAAAACTGTACTAAAGCGCAAAGAGAACAATGCTTACGATACAGAGACTTTGGTACACTATGATGCGTCAGGACACAATGAAATTATGCTTGCGATCTATACATTGCGCCCTTTGAGATAGTTGAGAAAGAAAAAAGTGGCCGCGTGCCAATATTAATTGCTTGTAACGGGGCCGCGGCCTACATACGACATACCCCGCTACAGGGGGTATGTATTCATGGTCGGGGTTTTGCGACAGACCTGTTTGTTGTTGTCTGCAGGTTCCAAGTCTTGCTTATCGGGGGGTAAGTGTTCGTAAGTTTCAAGGAGCAAATATAAGTATCCCTGAATTTGAAACCCCCTTAAACTCTTACAGGCTGAGAACGCGGAGTGGTTCCAAGTCTTGCTTATCGGGGGGTAAGTGTTCGTAAATTCACCAAAAACATGACAATTTTCCCGCGGAATATGTGTCAGTGGAGCCGCGCTAACACAAAAAAAGCATGACACATTTTTCGCGGAATATGTCTCACCAGAGTTCTGTTAGCACCAGAAACATGACACTTTTTTTCCGCAGAAAACGTGTCATTAGAGCTGTGCTAACACAAAAAACATGACACATTTTCCGCGGAATATGTGTCAGTAGAGCCGTGCTAACACAAAAAAGCATGACACATTTTCCGCGGAATATCTGTCACCAGAGTTCTGCTAGCACCAAGGACCAAAAACATAACATTTCTTTCGCAGAATATGTGTCAGTAGAGCTCTGCTAACACAAAAAACATGACGCATTTTTCGTGGAATATGGGTCAGTAGAGCCGTGCTAACACAAAAAAGCATGACACATTTTTCGCGGAATATGTCTCACCAGAGTTCTCTTAGCACCAGAAACATGACATTTTTTCCGCAGGAAATGCGTCATTAGAGCTGTGCTAATCCAAAAAACATGACACATTTTCCGCGGAATATGTGTCAGTAGAGCCGCGCTAACACAAAAAAACATGACACATGTTCCGCAGAGTATGTGTCACCAGAGTTCTGCTAGCACCAAAAACATGACAGTTTTTCCGCAGAATATGTGTCAGTAGAGCTGTGCTAACACAAAAAACATGACACGTTTTCCGCGGAACATGTGTCAGTAGAGCCGTGCTAACACAAAAAAGCATGACACATTTTTCGCGGAATATGTGTCACCAGAGTTCTCTTAGCACCAGAAACATGACATTTTTTCCGCAGAATATGTGTCAGTAGAGCTGCGCTAACACAGAACTCTGGTGAGACATATTCCGCGAAAAATGTGTCATGCTTTTTTGTGTTAGCACGGCTCTACTGACACATATTCCGCGGAAAACGTGTCATGTTTTTTGTGTTAGCAGAGCTCTACTGACACATATTCTGCGGACAAAAATGTCATGGTTTTGGCGCTAACAGAATTCTGGCGACACATATTCAACATATTCCGCGAAAAATGTGTCACCAGCATTTTAAACATCCGGAAACTCCACCCCTCCACCCCCCTCCACCCCCCTCCACCCCCCCTCCACCCACCACCCCTCCACGCCTCCACTCCTCCAACCCCACCCCTCCACCCCTCCCCACTCCCCACCTCCCCCCACCCCCCCACCCCCCCACGCATGCGCGGGACACCACAACGAAGAGGGTGTTAACACCACCAAGAAGCAGGATGTCACAACTCCTGGTGGTTTGAAGGCAATCCACAAACCGTGATATCGCAACCGCTTATTAAGGTTACAAATTACCAAAATTCCAAACCAGAGTTGGGGCCCTAACAGAACACCAAACAATCTTGAACACACATTCAGTTGCGATATCTCTCATCTAACTCTAAACCCTTAACCCTAAAACCCCAAGCGACCAGCAGCATGGCTGCATATTTTGCAGAGAGCGCTTGATGCCACAAGAGGGCGCTAGCCACAAGATGGGTACCGGCCCTTGTTTTCACCTAGACCTACTTCGGGTTCAGGGTCTAGGGTTTAGGGTTTAGGGGTTATATAGGGTTGAGGGTTTAGGGTTTCATAGTTAAACGGTGCATATTTGCTCACACCCCCCCCCCCATGACCCACCGTGAGGCCGTGTCGGAGTAAGAAATCCATACTTAGTCATAGCTATGAATTTAATAAGAACCCTCTTAATTGAACGAAAACCCTATGAAATTCATACGAACCCTATTAAGATTAATAAGACTCTTTATTGAATCAATAGGAATAATGACTTGGAATCATATTTGAGTCAGAGGAACTCCCTATCAAACGTCATGGGAATGCTAGTAAAATGTAGAAAAACAATAGGGCCCCCATGAAGAATAGTAGGGAGCCTGTGAAAATGAAAAGGGACCCTTTTTGAATTCACGGGAATGTGGGATTTCCATTAAATCTAAATAGGAATCCTATTAATATTTCTCTTAATCTTGTTATGATGAATTAGAATCCTATTCAATTTATGAGGAACCCCACTAAAATTCATAAGAACCCTTTTACAAATTAAGAGGAATCTTTGAAATGAAGAGGGTCCTACCATCAAGTAGAATTTATAAGCAACACCACTAAAAATCATAAGAACCCTATTGGAATCCTTTGAAAGTGAAGAGAAATCCTACTAAATTAATAGGAACCAATATGAATCCTATAAAATAAATGCGGTTCGGATTTCTAGGCTTCCTGTTAGAATTCATGTGATTCCTATTAGAATTAATGGGACAGGAATGCTATTCAAATCTCCAGAAAAAAACCATTCCAATTACTTTGCAAACATGAATAGGAACCAATAGGAATCCTAAAAAGAAGTATGAGCCCTTTTCATTTTCAGATGGACCCCTATTGAAACTAAAAGAAGCCACTTTAAAATGATTGAGAACCTTGTTGAAATTCATAAGAACCTTGTTTACAAAAACGTATTAGGAATCCTTCTACATTGAATAAGAACCCTGTGAAATTCATAGGAAAATTACTTGGAGACTCACTAAAATGAATAGGCACCAATATGAATCTTAAAAAGGTTTTTAATTTCAGAGGAACCCTGTTGGAATTAAAAGAGCCACTTGAAAATGATTAAGAACCTTGATGAAATGCATAAGAACCCTATT